GGCATCAGCAGCTATTTATTTTCTATTTCTTAAGGGCCACAGAGCCTTAAAAATAAATATAATTCAAAAGGAAAGACAATAGAGAATGACAGTTACTACAGCAGTTATATATATATTTTTGCCTGCCTCTCTCCCTCCTTGGGTGAGTCTTAACAGAAACCAAAATTATTATTCTTTTTTGTGATTTTGTAACCACAGAGATGTAAAATAACTATTTAATATCTCCAAGATATTATAATGTTTGAAAATATGACCAGTCTTTGGCATTTATTATACAAATTTCCATTAGTGTATTGTTGAACATATGCACCCCATGCTTTTTTCAGTGGTTTTATGGAAGACCTTATGATTTTAAGGTTTTTAATGGTATTAAGGAAAGATGCTGGCACCTGCAGAAAGAATATCAGCCTAGGTCTGTCTAATTAAACCTTTTCCCAAGATACCTTATTGACAGTTGTGTAATGATCTCATTCTGTTATTCCCAGTTCAGAGGGTTTTTTTTAATGTCTTATAGTTTACAGGTTCATTAATGTATTTGATTGATATAATAGCTAAATAATTATTTGTTTTACTCTGTGGCTTCCAGAATATCATGCTCAAGTCCATGACTTGAAGGACTTTGGATTGTTAGAAACAAATGTCCTAAATATCTTTGAGTGCATGTGAGCTAAGTTACTTAAATTGTGTCTGACTCTTTACAATCTTATGTTCTGTAGCCCGCCAGGCTCCTGTGTCCATGGGATTCTCCTGGCAAGAATACTGGAGTGGGTTGCTGTGCCCTCATGCAGGGGATCTTCCCAACCCAGGGATCGAACCTGAGTCTTTTATGTCTCCTGCATTGGCAGGCGGGTTCTTTACCACTGGCATCACCTGGGAAGCCTTAATATTTTCTTATCCTGACCTAAAACTAGTAAAAATAAATGGAGCTGCTGAGTAAACTGAATCAGATCTTATGTCCTTGGTAGATATATGAGAAGAAGAAAGATCACATTCCATCATTTTGGTTCACTTTCATGAACAGTGGCTTCCATTCCCTACTTAACATCCACCAGTGATAGTGTTATGATAAATTAATGGAAGCCAAGTGCTGGGCCATTCTCTGTAGGGGAAATGATACCTCAATATGGTTTGGTGATTTCATCTAGTCAGATTAAACTCCTGAACTTCAACAGTCGCTACTTAACCTATTTTCCCTAGAGCCTCCTATCTCTTTTTCTTGCATCTCCACTCTCCCAGTTACCCAGGCCCAAAGCCTTGAAATTATCCTTGATTCTTCTCTTCTTCTCACATCCCACATCATACCACATATGGATGACATGGGTTCTTCACTGAAGACTTGGAAATGTGCTTGCTATGGAATGGATTAATGTCTGTCTCAGGGCAGTTTAGTCTGAGCTGAAAAGTTTATTTTTTTAATTTAATTTTTACATTTTATTTAATTTATTTTAAAATTTTTTCTTAAGTAATACAATTCTAATTTAATTAATGAGCATTTTCTTGCCATTTTGCAGGCAAACATGAAAGTGTGTTTATATGCCCAGTTTTGATAAAGACAGTGCTTTTGTTTTAAATATCAAAGTTTATTTACTCCCCTTTATTGTTTGTAACTTTTGACATCATTTTTCATTTTTAAAAGGTTGTACTCCATTTACAGTTATTATGAAATATTAGCTATATTCCCTGGAAATGTACCCCATTTATATGGGAAGAACTGATGTTGACATTTGCTCCTACACAAAGGAACCCTATAAAAATAACACTAGTACATTGTTAATTTGGAGAAGGAAATGGCAATCCACTCCAGTACTCTTGCCTGGAAAAATCCCATGGTCAGAGGAGCCTGGAAGCCACTGTCCATGGGGTCGCAAAGAGTCAGACGTGACAGAGTGACTTCACTCACTCACATTGCTAGTAAACATAACTAGTAGATTACTGCAGTAACCCAAGTAAACTAGATAAGATTTCACACCTAAACTTGAATCTCATTGTTATAAAGTCATTCTTCTGCATCAAATAGCTGACTCCTTAAAGACTGTCACTTTTCTTCTGGAGTCTACAAGCTCCTACTCCAGAACACTTTGCCCTACAGACCCTTGTAAACGCGCAATAAATGCTAGTTGAATAAAAGAATCTTCAGTTTCCAAAGGAATGACCCGGTGCTACAATAATCCCTTCATGAGCTAAATGTGGGTCAGAGGAACAGGTGATATCATTCAGCTCTTTCAGCTACTTGACCACTCTGATCCTGAAGAACCACAAAATATTTTCAGTACTATAGACTGAAAAAGAAAGCCTGGAACAACATTCACTTTTCTGAACGATTCCAGTGCCTCTAAAATGTGACATTTTGCTGTTGTTTCCTTTTACTGTTTCTAATTACTGGGTCTATTTGCATGAAATGAGGATCTGGGTTGCCTAGGAGTTCATCTGCTCCTATTTCATATTCTTCTCTTAAATAAGCATACTTTGGTGTAGTTTTGCTTGCTGCCTTCAACATTTAGACAGGACCCCGGCCCCCCCCCCCCAACTGTCCCACTCTCCTCCCATTACTCCCCAGGAGAGAGGTTATTTTCAAAGTATATAATCAATAGACTTTGGGAAACATCCAGAACATGAGAAGGTCATATGATTGGGAGCAAGCTACCAGGGATTGCTGAGAGAAGGGATGGCAACAAGCCATGCCAAAAATTGTCTGAGAAGGGAAAGACAGTCTGTAACTCGCATTTAAGTGTTCTGAGTTATTCTTTTGCACAGGCTTTTGTTTGGGAGGGGCTTTTTATCTTGGTTCTTCAGCATTACTTTGAGTTTCAGTAGCTTTTCAGACTAGATAGTGTTACATTAAAACCAAGCTTCATCTGAGGCTCTTGATGGAGTCTTCAATCTCCTGGTCATGGTGCTGCTATGTAGTTCCTGATGCTGATGCTGCCTTTGCTGAAGGTTTGAATCAAGAATAAAGCAATTATGGTCACAATACCTATAAAAACAATGGCTCTATAGCTCCTGACTCAACTGACAGACAAAAGAAACAGTGTTAAACAAAGAATGCACCTATTGAGAATGTGCAGATGATCATGCACAGATGAGTATCGCTATTGGAAAGTCACCTCCAGAGTAGTGAAGAGGCTATTTCTGCAATACTGCTCGTTACATCACTCAGAAAACATAGCTCTGTTTTCTTCTGTACTTGCAACCACAGCAGAGCTATCTCCTCTTATGGAGTTTTATTTAATGGCAATTTATAACTATCCTTCCTGTACCTTAGAAGATGATCCATGACTCCAGCCCTGCATTTTCTCTCTTCTGGTTATCAGAGGAAATTGATTTGTCACTTATCTCCTTGGCTGGGACATTTCATTTTGCTGTTTTTGTTTCATAGGATTGTAATCCTTCCTAAAGATTTGCTTGTATCTCTATTATTTAGTATTTTCCTCCATTTCATTATTTAACTTTAATCATGTCTAGTGAGTTGATTATTAAAAATCAGTTTAGCATTTTGTGTGAATTTTTGCTTTGGCTATGCGTGGTGCAAAAGAGCTGCGTGTCAGCCTTTGCTATTTGTCCTCAGCTGTTCCTATATTATGCCACTGATCAGACCTTAGTCTAAGGCTAATCTTATATCATTAAGATGCCTTCCTAAGTGAATTCTTCTTTGACTGAAGAAATTTGGTGGTAGCATTAATTGCAAGTAAAGACCATGACTTATTGTTGAACATAAAATATCTTCTGAGAAGTGTCTGTCGTCACTACTGTGAACTCTCAGTAGTGACATAAAGACTTTTGTCCCCTGCAGATCCAGTTACAGCTAGTGACAAAGGCATATGTCCACTCTGAACAAAAGAACACTTATTTTCCTATTCCATGGCTGACATTGAGTGATAACATTTTTGCATATCGTAAAAATTTTTATGCATATGCTGTTTAAAGGCAAAAAGTGCTTTTACAATAATCTTCTTTGTGAATAGAATTTAAACTCTGTATGTGCTGTCTCTTCAATATGGCTGTCAAGCTCTGAATAATAACCTTTGACAGTGCTGAGCAGAAACAAAACCAGAGGTTGTTTCCTCTGTCCACAGCACCATTGTTTATTATCTTTGCTGTTTTGGACTTAGGCTCATCCACCTTAAATAAAATATGTAAATTAATATTTTAAATGAGTTACTAGACTGTGGTTTAAAGAAATAGTCTGCTCTGATTTTTGCCATGGCAAGTCACAGATCTTTGTCTCTGGCTGACTCAACCTGTGATGAACAGACAGTAGTTGACAAGGGGGAAAAAAATCTGCCAATTAATATATTATCTGATATTATTGTACCATTAAATTTTTATGAAACTTGTATATGCCTTTAAAAAAATGGAGCTAATCTGAAAACAAGACCCTGAGGATGAGGGGAGGAATAAACAGAAAAAAACATTCTTTGTCTTGAAAGAACTGTTAAATCACCTATCTCTACATTGTCAAGGTAAATCATATATGGTAAAATTTAGGCTGCTTATAACATGTATAGAAATAGTTAAAATAGGAAATACCAGCTTTTAAGCATTTTTGTAAGGTTCTTTGACACTGAGTAGCTGGTTAGAATGAAATATTCTTTATTTTAATAAGTTAATTTGGTTATAATAACCAAAATGGTTTGTACATGTGGATATAGCTTTGCTAACAATTTTCTTTAAAATACAATGAAATGACCCAACAAATCCTAAGTCGACTTACTGCAGAACAGAATTTATTTTGGTTGAAGTTATTTTGAATTGAACTGACAGGCTTATGATTAACATGTTTTGCAAATTGTTGAAGGTGATGAAGCAGAGAAATCCTTGCACAACACTCTATAAGATGCTGTAGCTGTATATCTTTAACAAACAATGTTCGTTTCGACAAGTTTATTGAAAAAATTTAACTGCACAGAAAACTTACAATGAAGGTAACAACAGTAAAAACCAGTTAGTAACAATTGTGCTGTCATTTAAAGAATTGCTATGTTTTTTTCTTTCCTCGACAGTGCAAATCCAAGTGGAGGAGAAAGAAGATGATACTGAGGAAAGTTCAAGTAAGTGGGGATGGACCCAGTTGGGACATGTTCCCTCTGGAATAGCAGCGAATTTAGGGGATTCGTCCTCTTATCTTGTGGGAATATGGGACCCTGTGCAAACACGGAGCACAAGTGGATGACTTTCAGTGGTCTCACAAGAGCAATCAAGTCCATGAGATATACTCTTCACTTGAGATTGCATTCAATTGGCACACACACATTCCACCCAATTTATAAATTGCTCATATTAAGTGGATGGTGGTCCAGAAAAATTTGCTTTTTTATTTCTTTACTATTTTCTTTGTCCTAAAACATTTTCCCTTAGGTTGAATCTATTGCAATATAACAGATTGGCCTTTTGACTAAAGTGATCAGATTGCTCAATAAAAATGAATAAACCTGTTCTTTTAAATTCATGAATATTTTGTCTAAATTGCCCTGTTGTTTTTACTTTGAATAGGTTCAGCTCAAGAGCCTGGATTGTGACCCCTTCCCAGGCATGCAAACTACTCATGGACTAGAACAGAGAAAAATCATTTTATGAACAAAAGTTTTGAGTTTATCAAAACTGAAAGTGCACCATTTCAGGGAGAGTTCAATTAGGGAATACATCAACACTATCAATTAAAAACCTGAGCCCAATATGATAGCCAGCGAATGTTCATGGTGACAGTTGTTTTCATTAATTTGGTACATTCTGCGTGTAAACAGCCCAGAGTCTCACATAGATCCTAGAGGCTCTGACTAGACTACTATAGGGAAGGAAAAGTAACTTTTCCTTTACCCTTCTGAGTTTCTTAACTGATACTCCTATAATCTAAGACAGTTTAACAAGAAAACCAAACCAAAACAGAAGTTTATTAGCACATACACCTCATGTATACATGATGATACCCAGAAAAAAACTGAATAATTGTGTGAGGTGGCTTAAAATTTAGACTTAAATGCTATCTTAATAGGGAAAAGGGAGAGGTATGCAGGTCTCTTGGAAGAGAATAAGTTTTAAGAGAATAGATAGGAGGTATGATAGTTTATGATAAAATATGTCTGCATGTGGTGTTGACCTATAGTCTCCTCTATAGAATACTTCTATAGTGTTCCTTGGGGATGAAATTCTTGGGGAGGGGATTTATGACAGTTGAGTTCCTTTTGGCAGCTGTTTTCAGGCAGACAAGAGGAATTCAGAGAAAATCTCTTTCTGCATTTGCTGTTTTTCAAGTGCTATGTCTCAAAATAGTCAATACACAGAAGTGGCATATTTTGGGGTGGTATATTCTGAATGTCTTTTTGAGGTGGTATATTCTGCTACTGTTCAAAACTAAATTGAGCCCATTCCAAAAGGTAATGTTTATGCAAATCCACATTTAGTAGGCAACTGTAAAACACTCCTTTTTTAAAAAATTTGAATTTTGGAAACTAGTGAAAACACTAAAGACAGCCTTTTTGTCCTAAGTGCTAGAAGATAAATATAATGATATACTTTTCATCCATGGTAAAACTCTGCAAATTTAATAGCTTAGCTTTAATGTAAAATATACTAAAATGCAGAGTACCAAGTGGCTTCTTGAATTTTTGAGTTATTTGAGGGTGAAATTGTTTCTCAGTTCCTATGAGGCTCTTGTTCTTTCTATGATTAGTGACTAAAATGAACAATAAAGGCTGGGTAGATTTTCAAAATGCCAGAGTGGGGTTTGAACATCATGCAACATCTGCCACAGTATTTAACAGATTTTGGTCTTGATGACAAGAGTACAGTTTTCAAAACCTAGTTAGAAAACTAATTCTCCTGTTTTTCTCTGCTAGTCAAACTTTAGTAATATTGGTAATGTTTAGCGCTTATTTAGATTTGGAATATCAATAAAGGTTTAACAAGTAATGTTGAAAAGATAACAAAATTTATAAAAAAATAAAATGACGCACACTATGTAAAAATGAACATACTTAACTAATAAATGAGGAATCCGGTGAGCCATTTATAGCAGTTACCAGTTCAAAGGAAAATTCAAAGAACAGATTCATGTATAGATCAGGAATATTGAACTGATTGTGCAAGGGAAGACTTGACTGTTTTGTGGGGTTTTTTCCTTTTCTTTCTTTTTTGGTGGTGGAAGGTTGTCCGCACTGAAAAGAGTTCACTTGCTTGTCTACAGACAAGAACTATTTTGCATTGCTATCTAGTGATCCACAACTTACAAAGTTACAAAATAGCTTCCATAGAATTAGCATCAGACAACACAGAAGGGTATGGTACAGACATTTCATAGTTTTCCATTAAAGCACAATTTTTTCCCTATAGTAGCTTCTATTTAAAAAGATAGTGATAATTATGAGTAATATTTGTTTTTTTAAATAATAATTAACTCTAAATATCAGAAGTTAAAAAGCAAAAGTGAATATGAAGTAGGATTGTCTGTTATAAGCAGTGAAGGAAGGAACTGAATTCTCCCCCTACTCTTTACCAGAAACCTTCCAAAGAAGTTATGGATATATGAGGCATAAATTGTCAGTTGGTGAATAAAATAATATTATTTTCTCAATCTTGTATTAAATTTACTAGTTATCTATTTCTAATCAAAAAGATAGAATGATCAAGCAAAGTTATTTACTATCAATTTCATCTAAGAAAGAGAAAGAAATTTAGGAAAAATAAGTATTTGAAGTTAAGAATGAAAAAGATTTTACATAAAATAGATAAGCAACAAGGATTTACCGTGTAACACAGGGAACTGTGTTTAATATCTTGTAAAAACCTATAATGGGAAATAATCTGCAATATATATATATTTTACATAAATATATAAAACTGAACCACTTGCAGTGCACCTGAACAAGTAATACAATATTGTAAATCAACTATGCTTCAATTTTTTAAAAAAAGTTTTAAAAAAAAGAATGAGAATGATTTGAATTAGGAAGGCATTTGAATTATGTCAAGGCATAAATTAATTTCTTCAAAATTATTCTAACTTATAGCATTTCCTTGCATTCTTATTGTTTGTTCTAAGATAGAAGTAATATTAGCACATAGTGATTAAACACTCAACCCTTATGTATTGAATTGATAATCTACAATTTGAATTATGTCAAGGCATAAATTAATTTCTTCAAAATTATTCTAGTTTATAGCATTTCCTTGCATTCTTATTGTTTGTTCTAAGATAGAAGTAATATTAGCACACAGTGATTAAACACTCAACCCTTATGTATTGAATTGATAGTCTACAATTTGAATTATGTCAAGGCATAAATTAATTTCTTCAAAATTATTCTAGTTTATAGCATTTCCTTACATTCTTATTGTTTGTTCTAAGATAGAAGTAATATTAGCACATAGTGATTAAACACTCAACCCTTATGTATTGAATTGATAATCTACAGTTTGAATTATGTCAAGGCATAAATTAATTTCTTCAAAATTATTCTAGTTTATAGCATTTCCTTGCATTCTTATTGTTTGTTCTAAGATAGAAGTAATATTAGCACATAGTGATTAAACACTCAACCCTTATGTATTGAAGTGATAATCTACAAACTTGGTCTGAGAGGTCATGGTATGATATCAAACTCCCAAGTCATCTAGTTATACAAGTAAATGAAGGCTGGAATTCTAAGCATTGTTAGAATTTGGGGATTGATACTCACATATTTGAGTAGAGAAACCACAAGAAATGAGAATGTAGATAAGTGTATTGAAATGGCAGACTATGAAATATATATGGCATGGTGCATTTTATATTGATATGACAAATTGCTAGATTATGGTTTCAGAGGTGTGATAAAGATAATTAAAAAGTAAGACTATATTTGGGATCAGGAAAGCACTTTTCTGAAGCTACTCACTGAAGCATTAACTGCTGTGTTTAGGCGAAGAGGAAGAGGAGGAAAACAAACTACCTCGAAGAGAGAGCATGAGACCAAAGAGGAAACGGACCAGAGATGTTATCAATGAAGATGATCCAGAACCTGAACCAGAGGATGAAGAAGCAAGGAAGGCCAGAGAGAAAGAGAGAAGGAGGAGGTTAAAGAGAGGAGCGTAAGCTAGTTCTGATCTATAATTGGCATTATTTTTCACTCAGAAGTGATGCTGAAAGATCACTCTTTAGGCACTCCCTAGCCTTAAAATTGGTAATTAAAACTACTTTCAAAAAAACAAGCTTAGTCTGATGCCACCATTTTATTTTACTTAGTTAAATGTATTTTAATATTAAAATAGAATTTTTAAATGAATATATATTGAGAATGGACTTATGAGAGATTTCCTTATAAGAGATCTAAATTGTCATGGGTCATTAATATAGTTAATTTAAATATTTTAATGTTATTCTATTAGTTAAATGCATCATTAATGAAGTTAAATGAAAAACTTATAAACATGATCCCAAATCACATATCTTACAGAGCAGGAGTTGGAAAACTATGGTTAATTTAAACCCAAGAGTAAAGAATGGTTCTTACCATTTTAATCAAACTGTAATTAAAAAAAAAACAAACAAAGAGGAATATGGGACAGAGCTGTATGTACCTCCCAAAGTCTAAAGTATTAACCATCTGTCCCTACAGAGGATTGGATTGTCCTTTCCTTTTTAACATAACTCTGCCTTTCACTTCTAGCAGGCCAATGATCTTCTGAGTGCTGCCTTTGTCTAGAATAATATATTAAATGCTGTTTAGGGAAGAAATCCAAGAAAATAATTTTCTGGTCTTTGCTTCCTGGAAAATTGCAGATGGCAGGCAGGTGGAAAAACTGTATATGTGAAACACATTTATTAATAGGAAACCTAGGCCACTTGGAAAGCATTCAAGAGAATAACTCCTCTGCTACCCCTAGGTGGGGCATGGGACTCACCATGAGGTGATAGGATCTCTCCTCTGAAACAGTCCTATTACTTTAAATGCTGAAGAGCTTTCCAAGATTTCCTCCCAAGATGACACCTTGTGGTATTCAATAACTAGCTATTATTTGTGAATATTTTGTCAATAGAGAAGTTTAGCATTAGTTGACGATGGTTCCTGTTAAAATAAGAGTAACCCCACCCATTTCTTCATTGTATTTTTGTTGACTTAAGGTTTTAAATCTCTCTTTTCCTCTTCTTTCTGCTTCTCTTCCTTTTTCTCCTTCTCCCTAATCTCCTCTTCTTTCTTCTATCCTTCTATTTCTTCTATCCTTGAATCGCCTGCTTTCTGTTTTACTCTGATTTTTTTCTGTCTATCTTCAAGTATTTTTATGTTTTGTTCTTTTCAAAAACAAAGCACCCTTTTAAGTTTCATGTCTTATTGTGATTGCTATTTCTATTATTAGGTAGTAATGTTCCTACTAGCAAAGCTGATGCTTTCTGACAGTGGTATTTCATTGAGGAAACATCACCAATAGACATATGAATGATATAGATTGTGTTCCAGAATTTGCCTTTTCCTCTCCACCTGTGCTTCAGAGATGTTGCTTTTAAAATATGACTCAGATGGGTATTCCTTTGCTTTCTTGGTCTGCTCAAGGCCCTCCGGTCAAGGCTCAACCTCTAGAAATAGGACCGTGTGAATCAACTGGGTCTTGGCACCTGCTTCCTGGGGCAATCTTGTCCCTGTGACAGGGTCTGTCCTTAGCTGGTCCCACTCTCATCCTGATTCTGAGAAGCCAGAAGCACCCGTCTCCCTTCCTCCCCTCTCCTCTGCAGAACCAGTCTTGACTAAAATGAATTTTATCTCCATAGGTTTTGCAAATTATATTATTACCACCATAATTTTTACAACTATTTTAAATAATATAAATTACTTAATGATGATTGACAGTTTTGATCACTATTTCAGGGTCCATATTCTATCATTCACTTTGAAGATAAGCCCTTATGTTTTTAAGAAAATGTATTAGCAAGTATGTTTTGAGAAAGATTAGTAGGCAAATCATGGCACATTTATTTAGGTTAATTAATTCATGATCTTCTTTTATTTAAATGTTCATGTGAAACACCTTAGGGAATTTTTCTTGCACTGAAAAAACATTTGAAACCAACTAAATCCAAGGTTGTAATGCTAACTGTCTTTGGAGATGGTTAACAAAACTGCCTTGTTTGGCATTTTGAAGTATTTCTAATAATATTATATGTTTTTCTTGACCCAGTTTTAAGTGAATAAGTAATACGTTTATAGCAGTGAGAAATTCAGCACATTATGCCTCCTTTTTCCTAACAACTGTTGTTTAAATAAATCAAAACTAAGATAGAAAGCCATTCTTACACAAATTAGCCCTACATTTTAGAAGCAAAGCATGCCTGTGCTATGCACTTTTAATATGATTAGCACTTTCTTTGAGTGGTTCCTGGAAAAGCAGTTTCCCTGTAATGCAATGTTTAATTATGCATTATTATATTTAAATTATGCAAAAAATGTAATATCTTAATTACCTGCATATTTGAAGGTAAGTTAGCTGACAACAACTATACATTGTAGCACAGCATGATCTTCCTGGAGCAATCGACAATAACAACACAAAGATTAGAAATATACCAGTCTGAGATCATTTAGTGTAGGAATAAATATCTTTCCATAACTTGGACAACATTGTTATATTTTATTTTAGTGTACTTGTTGGTAATCCTGTCACCCAGAAAAATTCTGCACATAAACATTTATTTAATAAATATTTATTCAGCTCCACTTCTGTTGAAGATAATTTGCTAATTTCTTTGGAAGATATGGATATGAATGTGAAATTGCCTCCATTCTCTACAAATTAACAATATAGTAATGGAGAGGCCACTTAAGACACAATTATTATGAAATAAGACTGTATAAATGTGCCAGAGAAGTGAAAAGTGATTTAGAGTCTTAAACAAAACTATCTCATAAGGACAATCAGAAAAGGGTATTGAAGACATTTCATATGATTTTTGAAGGAGTCATAGAATCTGAATATGTTAAATATATAAAGTATGTTTAAGACAGCAGGAAACTACGTAATTAGTATTAGGAACATAGAGAAATGTAGAGAAATAAGCTTTAATTACAAGGTAAATCCAAACATGAAATAGATCATTCTTTCATTCTGTGTAAGTATTTTGTTATCTTTGTACAGCACCATAGGATTTTCTATGTGTGTGTATGCTTAATTGCTCAATCTTGTCCGACTCAGCAACCGTATGGATGGTAGCCTGCAAGGCTCCTCTGTCCATGGGGATTCTCCAGGCAAGAATACTGGAGTGAGTTGCCATGCCCTCCTCCAGGGGATCTTCCCAAGTCAGGGATCGAACCCAGGCCTCCTGCATTGCAGGAGGATTCTTTACCATCTGAGCTACCAGGGAAGGATTTTTATATAATAAACATTAAATATTTAAAATAGAAACACCTTAACAACATTCAGAGTTGTATCTTAGTATGAGTGTACTTCCATAGTTCACTTAAACAAGGATTACTATTCTAAGAAAAATATCTTAATTGGTTAAAAAAAATACCAACAAAACTATCAATGACAAATGCTATTTTAGAGGGTTAATTAAATTTCTGTTTCAGTAACCATGACCTGATTAAAAACTCTGGTTGTGGTTTAGTCGCTAAGTCGTGTCCAACTCTTTGTGACCCCACAGACTGTAGCCCACCAGGCTCCTCTGTCCATGGGATTCTCCAGGCAAGAATACTGGAGTGGGTTGCTGTTTCCTTCTCCAGAGGATCTTCCCTATCCAGGGATCAAACCTGGTCTCCTGCTTTGCAGGCAGATTCTTTACCAACATAGCTACAAGGGAAGCCCTAAAAAAAAAAAAGAAAAAAGAAAAAAAGCCCTAAATAAACTCTGGGTTGGTGGGAAAGAAAGGAGATTGTGAAGTCATTTTGTAAGGTGGGCTATAAAGCTATGGGTATGTCCTCCTATTATTCAGCTGAAACTGTCGAAAACATCTTTTGCTATAGCCATACTGTGTGTGGTCATGAGTTTAATGAACAACAAAACATGTTTCTGACTAACCCTGAGTTAGATTACACCTTTGTCAATCCATGTCTAGTTAGGAGAAAGGAACTCCAACAGTTAATCGAAGAGAAAGTGTTTTATAAGAGGACTATTTAGTAGGTGCCAAAGAATTGATGCTTTTGAACTGTGGTGTTGGAGAAGACTCTTGAGAGTCCCTTGGACAGCAAGGAGATCCAACCAGTCCATCCTAAAGGAAGTCAGTTCTGAATATTCATTGGAAGGACTGATGCTAAAGCTAAAACTCCAATACTTTGGCCACCTAATGCAAAGAACTGACTCACTTGAGAAGACCCTGATGCTGGGGAAGACTGAAGGTGGGAGGAGAAGGGGCCAACAGAGGATGAGATGGTTGGATGGCATCACTGACTTGATGGACATGAGTTTGAGTAAGCTCAGGGAGTTGGTGATGGACAGGGAAGCCTGGCATGCTGCAGTCCATGGGGTCACAAAGAGTCGGAATGACTGAGCAACTGCACTGAACTGATTTAGTAGGTATAAATAATCACTAGGCTAATAATAAATAGGTTACTGGAAAGGTGAAAACAAAACACTAAGTATCATGGTAATAGCAGCTATAGGAAGCAAATAGCACACCATGGGCTGGAGGAACAATGGAAAGAGGTTGAAATTAAAACCTGAAAGCATAGAGGAGAGACCTGGGGAGCTGAAACTACTGCAGAGGGGGCAATGCTCAAGTGGTGCTGGCGTCTACAGGGCAAGTGATGAAGCTGGTTCTGCTTATGTTGGGGAGACTGGCAAACTAGTCTCACTGCAGCTATGGGAAGGCCCTGCAGCTCTTGGGGTGAAGAAGAATTGCTGAAGAGTAAGCATCCCACAAGAGGCAAACGGGAAGCCAAAGGAAAAACCAAGTCGCTTCTTAGTATACTCTATTGGCAGACGATTATGACAGCAGAATATTGAGCCAACTGACAAACCAGAGTCACAGCCACAGCATCACAATATTAAATCTAAAGGGGTAAATTGGAAGTTAAGTGACCATGTTGTTGTTGTTTAGTTACTAAGTTGTGTCTGACTCTTTGAGACCTCAAGGACTGTGGCATGCCAGGCTTCCCTGTCCATCACCAACTCCCAGAGTTTGCTCAAATTCATGTCCATTGTATCAGTGATGCTATCTAACCATCTCATCCCCTGTCACCTTCTTTTCATTTTGCCTTTAGTCTTTCCCAGCCTCAGGGTCTTTCCCAATGAGTTTGGCTCTTTGCACCAGGTGGCCAAAGTATTGGAGCTTCAGCATCAGCATGAGTCCTCCCAATGGATATTCAGGGTTGGTTTCCTTTAGGATTGACTGGTTTGATCTCTCTGCAACAATAACTCATAACTGAAACAATCTCTTACCAAAAACATTGTTCTCTACAACAGGGCATTACATTCTTCAATTTAAAAACCTTGTCGCTCATGTTTAGATTTTGTTTTCTTTGAGTTTTGGACCCTTTGATATTTTTTGCAATACTAGGAACACAGAAGAGAAAAGATCCATCTCATTTGCTCAGTGAGAAACTAAATTCCTTTGAAGGCCTCTTCAAAGGATCGACTTCTATCAAGTATACTTTGAGTTCAATTTTATCAATTGAAGTTTTGAGCTTAATTAACAGATTAAGTTACCTTAGAGGAATAGATTCTTTTTATTTTTTCCTATTTCAGTTTTTCTCTTTCTCTTGAGACAGGACTAAAAAATTTTTTAAGGGCACTTCAAAGGCACTTTCACCTCTAATTTACTATCCTTGTTGAAAAATAAAGTTTTTAAATGAAATGTAGCATTGGAGGGGGAAGGTGTACAGTGGAACAAAGAAGAGAAGAAAATATATTAATAGCTTTTTATTTCCATGGATTTTCTGAGGATTTGAGACTATGGACATAAAATGGTTTCAGGACTTCAGAATACAAATACTATTTTTTTAAGTTACAGTAAGTCCAGAAATCCTGCGTCAGCATTCAACTACGAGCTCTAAGGCTTATGGATGTCAGCATTCACTGTATACAACCGAGTTGTTATGCATTAATCAGCTGAGTATTTGATAGCATTCTTTAACTTTGGAAGTCAGGCAAATCTTAACTTTACTAAAGAAGTTTTTTTTTTTTTTTTAAAGGGAAGAAGAAGAAGAAATAGATGAAGAGGAATTGGAAAGATTGAAGGCAGAGTTAGATGAGAAAAGACAAATGATTGCTACTGTCAAATGCAAGCCTTGGAAAATGGAGAAGAAAATTGAAGTTCTCAAGTATGATGCCACTTTTCATAATTAGAAACACTTTCCTTGCTATTGATTTCCAAAATTCTCTATTTCCTATACATTATAGATAATACTATATGTAGTACATCATTTATATAAAGCACTCATTATGTATAATGTTCATGGCCATATATACATAATGTATCAAATGTTAACATATCATACATGTACATATATACACACACACATATGTACATATATATATCGCTAGAGAGGTTGGGATAATGATTATAAAAGAAAACAACCATAATTAAATTCATTATTTGGAATCTTACAACCTCTGATCACCTTTAATCATTTGCTCCTTGAACTGAGAATTTCCTTAGTTTAATACATTCATTACTATCTCTCTGAAAAAGATACTATATTTGAATTTTACAAGTTTGTTGGATTGCACACTCTAGTTTCTCTGCAGGGTTCCAGCATCAAATGATGTATTCATATGACAGCTCTCATTAAAGCACAGGGAGGATAGTAAGCCAACAGAACAGTAAACAGGATTCCAATTAAGGCTTATGCTAATAGCTATTCCCTGGTAACATGTCAGCAACCTAGTTTCACTCTGATGTTGAGTGTTGATGCACTCAGAGACACATAGATTTATAAACTCCTGATAAAAAAAAAGTCAAATGATTATCCCTTTCCTGGGACTGCAAGCGGACTTGCCTCAGAGGATCACACTTTATTTCCCTGCCATAGTGATTGGGGAAGCGGGGCATGAATAAAAAGGATGTGTCTGTGATAACAACCATGTTTGCATCTCACAGATGTGCTCCAGATTGCATTTTCCCCACAGAATCAGTTTTATAAATGATGGTAAATTTCCAAAGCTATCCCTCCACAAGTCTATTTAACTAATAACATTAAATGTTTAGTGTATATATAATAATGTTAAAATTAGAGAAAAATGTTTCTGTCTCTGGTGATGAAAAAAGAACTGAAGCAGCTATCAGGGTAATTCACTACTAATCTTGGCTCTGGAAGAGGCTGTGCATTATTTAAAGAAATAGCTTAAACTTCTGGGACCTCAGTTACCCTGTATTCAAAATAAAACAAGATATTCCAGCTTGCCCCTATGATGTGGGAACCTAGGTATCATTTCTAACAGTATTGTTTTGTGGAATAAAGTTTTCCAAGTTCCAAAGAGTGGCCTTCCCAGAAAACTTCTGGAACACCACACAGCTGTAGACTGGGAACTGCCTATGCTTGTTCATGTATACCAGTCACAAGTGAGGTTAAAGACAAGTGGCATCTCTGCTTCCATGAAGCTATTAATGTATATGCGTGTGCATCTACGTGTGTGCGTGTATGTGTCTGTTAAAATAGTTTCCATTCAATGAAGTAATAGTGATGCTGAATAATAGGTTTAAAAAATATCCTTACTTAGCAAAATAGAAGTTTGGCAACCTTATGTTGGTTCCCAAAATATGTCTTAACATATTGCTGACCACGAAATCCCCAAACCTGGAAACCACAGGTAACTAACTGTATGTGGAAAGTTGTAAAATTATATAGTAATAATATTTTGAACTTTCAAAGCATGGTGTGAAATTGAATAAAAATGCCAAGAAATATATCCTCCCTTTCCATTTGCATGGAGGTGTAGAAATAGCCCTTGCTCTCTCTTCCTGTCTGCATTTCCCATATAGAGCAGTGGAGAAGGGATAGGCATCAGGCTTGAGTTTGAATCTCTGATCTTGCATTTAAAAGCTATGCACATTTGAATGAACTGTGTACTCCTCTGACCTCAGGTTTCATATGAAATTTTACTAATTTACAGGGTTACTGGACTCATAAAGTGGGTTCTTTCATATGAAACACTAATCAGGCTGCCATAATATTGCACAAAGCTGGGAACCACAACTTGTAATTATCATTTTATCTCAGGACAGACTCAGTGTTGTCTGATTCCCTGCAGTATAACAGGAGAGATGGGGAGGTATAGGGCTTAGCAAGACTGGGTGGGAGCATACTTAGCCATAGGCAACCCCAGGAGCCTTGGGGACTGGTGGCACATCAGTATAGCAGTCGGGACAGTCTGGCAGGATGGACAACTGATTTTGATGCTCCAAGAAAGAAAAGAGGGTATCTTGACAGTTCAGCAGAATCTGTGGTCAGCCACTTCTAGATTTTTCAAAACGTACCTATAAGGTCATCTTGTAGCAGATTCCAGATCCTGGGGCCTTAGGCTGGAGTCCAGGGATTTAGCCATTTTTAGACACAGGGAGAGATAAAGATTGGGATGGAAGGAAGGGCACCACAGGTCCTATTACTACAGCAGAGGTCAAAAATGGGGAGTCTGCAGCTGAATCTAGATTATAAATGGTTTTTATTTGGCCCAAATGCTTTTTGCTTCTTTTTCTTTTATTTTTTTAAATTATGATTAAATATATGTAACATAAAATTTAACAGCTTAATCATTTAATAAGAATCATAATTTTTCTTTGTTCTTAAATTTAAGAAGTAGATTTCACATTTTAAAATTCAGATATTCATCTTTTCCTTAACAGGAAGACAGTCTGGTCCACATTGCTACATGAAAATAATAACTGGGGCTAGGCAATTGCTATCCCCTACTAACAGGTATTCACTCTTCAGTGTTCACAGTTCACAAACAACCCATATCACTTATTCATGCTCCTTGGCTGGACCTTATAAGCATTCATTTGTTGCCTCCTACACCATGCATCTGGGGAGCAAGTTAGGCATGCTACCGAGACAGTGATTCAGAAAGTCGGAGTGAAAGCCAGCTTGCAGAATGGAAGCACAGATTTGGGCCCAGAGAAGAAACAACTGTGGCTTCTCACCTGTCAGCAATGCTCATTGTCTTGTGATGATTCTCTGTAGCCAGAAATGGCTCCTGCTTTGTGGCTTTGCAGTATTCTGCACAGTGGGTGCCATTGGCCACGATCAGCCTGATTCTCTTGGTTTCAGCCTCTGTGATAAAATTGTGGTACTACAGTGCCTGACCTATTTCCCTTTGCAGGTTTCTGAATTCTGTATTGACGTTCTCCCCCAGGGGTCCCAATTACATACTAGAATCAATACTTCATAGTATTTATATGCAGGTAAAGTTTTCCCTGGGGCTTCCCTGATGGCTTAGAGGTAGAGAATCTGCTTGAGGTGCAGGAGACATGGGTGCAGTCCCTGGGTTGGGAAGATTCTCTAAAGAAGGAAATGGCAACCCACTCCAGTATTCTTGCCAGGGAAATCTCATGGAGTCACAAAGAGCTGGACATGACTTAGTGACTAAACAACAACAATAAAGTTTTCCCTACCCCAGTGTTATTAAAACATGGGAGCCAGGCATCTTTCCTCCCACCATTTATTCCTTTCAGAGACTTCAAACTCTGACAGAGTGTGTCAGTGGATTATGTTATTCCCGGAAGTAGCCTCCAGTCATCACTTCTGGCTAAGTCGATGGAATCCAAGACACTAGGCTCAATATAACTGGAACAGATATTTTCATCGTAGGTTTGGATCTGTATCTGGGTTCCAAGTCTTCCCATCTGGCTCTGGACTCTGAAAAACTTGTGAAACTTCTAAAACAGATTTTTACAGAGGGTCAGGGTTTTAAGACGTGTTTTAGAGTAAAGCCTCAGGAATGGAGGCTTATGGTTCTGAGGATAAATATTGTGGGAGACCCAGGTACAGTTCTCATAAGCCATACTTCATCTTGGGACTCAAAAATTTTTGGAGATGGTCTTGTCCATCTCCAAACCCTCATGGTCATCATTGTCAATAACCATTTCTAAATCAAAGAGCTGGAATTCAGATTTTGACTTCAGATTGTGGAGCTCCCTGATTTTTTTAATCAAAAGCTTTAAAATTTTGTTATTATAATTACTGGAGCCACTGAAAGCTTTGAACATAGAGATGACATGTTCAAAGGGGTATTTCAAAAGAAACTTAAAATGCAAAGTTATTCCTATTGTACAGATGAGAAAACTTTACAGAGGTAAGGTAGCCTCACACAGCTAATAAATATTAAGGTGAACATTCAAATCCAGTTTTATTCATCTGCAAAACCTCATAATTTTCCTATTGTCATACTACTTCTCATTTGAACCATGTTTTCCAGCAAAATAGTCTGCCCTAGACACTCTGGTTGACTTGCTCACTTTGCTTTAGTCCCCTCTCCATTTGTCTGCACGCTATGCTTCTTTCAACTGAGTTCTATCCCCTTCATGAATTATTGTCTCCCTGTGGTCTTCTCTCTGCCAAATCCTATAGAAAGAGAACTCAGATAGTCTCTCTATTATTCATTTAGCTCTGTTGTTATGCTGCATTATATTGCATTTTAAAATTGTATATAAATCTCTTTTCCTTTAGAATAGATTTTGAGCCCCTAAGAAGATGACAGGGGTCTGACAGCTCTTTATTTCTTCAGGGTCTAGCCTTGTACTCTGTACATCATAAGCATTCAATTACTGTTTCCTGAGTATCACTGTTAATGGTGACTTCTTTTGTTTTTGGATACTCATTCCCAAACCAAGAGAATCATTAACAATACTGAGACCTGTTAAAGGCCTAGGTAAATGTGTGAGTAAAAGACAGGAACGTGCTGAAACTTTGATTCATAGTGTTTGCCAATTTCCATAGTGTAAATATTCCCATTATGACTAATTTCAAGCTACTAACAGTTTAAGAACCAGCTCACAAAAGTCCTGAAAATTTAACAGTCAGTGGCTGAGTCAGCTGCAGCACCTCAATGGGGGGATCTAGCTATGCCCTTTGATTGAGCTTATATTAGAGAGATCTTAATCTGGGGCAGTTAAGAGCAGAAGCTAAAGAATAGAACCTATTTATTACGATAGAACATATTTCCTTTGTTTAAATTCTAACCTCCAATGAAATGCTTAAATTAGGACTATCTGTGAGAAAAAAAAAGACAAACATTATTCTATAATTTGAGGACTCGAAAGTTCAAAGTGCTGTCAACTGACAATAAAAAACATAAAGTCCCCTGTACAACCCCAAAGTTCCAA